AATACCTGCACCTTAAAACTTGTATATATTCCCCTTTTGCACATTCGGCTGGGTTCTGGATACGGAATAGTGCGAACAGTGAATCTGTAGGGTAGAAGTAGGAGTACATAGTGAAACCAATTGAACCCGGATGGAGGCGCTCTAGGGAGGGGGTCGTACGGGCCTTGAGTTTGGGTGTGGTTCACTAGGACAGAAAGCGACTTTTCGCGTTTCGCAGCGAAACATTTTTCGCTGCGGGAACCTCAGGTCCACTCATGATCAGCGGTGGACCTGAGGTTCCTGCAGCGAAAAATGTTTCGCGCTGCGAAACGCGAAAAGTCGCTTTCTGTCCTAGCGAACCACACCCCTTGAGTTCCGATCATCGCAATGGCTGGCCATTCACTTACCACACGCGCGTCACGTGCTAAACGCGTGGTTATTGACAGGTGAAAAGGACTGGGAGATTTTGCCTGGTGGTTTTCTTCACCGTTTCGCAACTTTTGCTTACTGAGTTCGAAATTTAGCAATTCGAAAAACTGTTAAAATTACAAACTCAGAAAGTAAGAGTCGCGAAAAAACTGAACTATTGAGATTATGACATGCTTTTGACGAGGGTTCAGGTCTATTTCACTTGCACGAAATCGACCACAGAAGCTTTCTTAAGAAGGACGTTGCTTTTTCACTTACATGGAGTAGATCGGAGATTCTGTAGCCGCTCCTTTGAGGTACTCCACGGTGATGTATGGGCCGAGTTTTCGGAGACACGGGCGCAAACGCACCTGGAATATGGTTGTATCTACAACAGAACAATGGTTGCTAAGATTTTGTTGTTTCATATGTAATTCTTCCTTTTACTACTTCATGTATGCCGCAAATGCAATGGCGCACGTTTTATAGCCTTATATTGCTCAGCCATGAAAGCGCTGGTACCTTGCCATGGCCCCAACTATTGACCCCAATTGGCTCTCCTACTGTTCGCTACGCAACCATTGTGTGTCCATCCCCTCTTGTTCGGCGTGCACTCTCGCGTATTCTCTCGCGTTGCCGCGCTGTTTCTCTCGGTCGCACAACGGCCGATCTCCGGAAGAGGTTGCATTAATTCCAGTGTTTCCACGTAATTTATTTTGCCTTTCCCCCAGAGCGTACTGCTTCTCACTCGCTTTTTAATATTCAAAAACGATAACAAAAAATTTCTTGATGGTGAGTGCTGCTTTAACCCCCCCCCTAAATCAGTCCTATTATTTAGAATTGGTAGCAACGCAGCCGTTTCCATAACTTCCATTGAATACGCTTTTCTTTCGCACGAAGCTACACCCACGATTGAGTAAAGACTAAGTTTGAGCTCAGATCCATCTATAAAGAGACTTTTACTGTCCCTAAAACGCTGGGTATGCAAGTGCCAGAGGTCGCGTTACTGTTCGAAAAGCGTTACCTTAAGAGCTTTAGTGCGCGATATTTGTTCAAGCTCCACCAGTAGTTGCTTCATGCTGCGCCCCACACTCGTTTCTAGTCTGCGTCGCACTGCTATGCTCTCTCTACTAGGATTTCTCTACCGCTCTCTGCACTCACATTATCTCTCATCTCCCTGCTGCCTTGTTTGAACTTCTCCGCAGCGTATGTAGAGAAAAGGCTCGTATTTCCTGTGCATTTCACGATTTTTTCCTTTTTCTTCACTGACAGTCCACTTTCCACCCCTACTTTCACATTTGAGTAGAGCTACCTCATTAATTCAATCCTGAATCTTAACTTTCAAGGTGAAATTTAAGTCCTGTGGAAGCGTAGGACAAGTTGTCAACAATTCGCCAATGTGACCTGTCCTGCAACGCAACTTGATAGGGGCAACAAGGGCGCTAGCGCATTTCCGAAACCGCGTTGATCGTTTCCATTTTTCTTCATCCACAAGAATGCGGATGTCTGCGCCCTCTCATTCGTTGTGATCTCTTGCCTATTTTCTCTCCCTCATGCCCAGTCTCTCATTACCGTAGTAAGCGAGCAAGCCCTTAACTTGAGCGTTTTCCATAGATTTGTTCCCTTTTTGCTTTACTGCCGGTTCACCAGTTTCATCGCGAGGTGTGCCTTCAAGTACTCTTAATTATGAGGTATTATAAAGTTTGGAGGCTGCAAGAAGTTGACTCTCACTCAAAGGGTAGCTTTTGGGTTCATACTTCAACTTTTTTCAATGGAATAGTCTATCTTCAAAGTTCTCTCATTTTAATTCTTATGACAGACAGCAAACATACTTTTCATATTCAAGTCCTGCATTGCCGCTCCAAGAGCAGTAGTGGGTGTTTGGAATCCGGACATAGAAGCATAGGGTTCTGCAAGGAAACTCATTGATCCTGCCAGTAGTACCCAGCAGTTCTGTGATGTACTTACTATCGGTTCCGGCAAAAAATTCCTGCTTGATATGTTCCAATCGTGAGGAAATCGTTGAGAAGTCATTCTGATCGAACACCGATTGAGTGGAACCAAACGGTAACCGGCTGCGGTAGGGTAAAAAAGCTGAAAATAGAGCAAATGAAAACTTGGAAAAGTTTGAGTAAATTCCCCCGATTGACCTTGAACTCTCCCGATTTACTCAGTTCAGCGACACAGAGTTTTCTAAAGCGCCGACTGGGAGTGTCGGCTGTGGAATGTTCAAGGCTAATGTGATATCGTTTAATCTTCGACCACCTAACGGGTCGGCGATTTTAGAAAGACTATTCTTTCCCGAAAATAGTACTGCAATACTGTAGGCAATGATAAAACGTTTCTTACCGGTGGGTTCGTCGTCGACAGGGAAATCGCATACAGATGAGGCTTCAGAGGAGGTAGTAGCTCGGCCCGAGTCATCATTGCTGTCAACCTGCAACGGTTATTCCGTTATTCGGAAACTTTTTGCCACTAACAACTTTTTCCATTAGTCTCTAAGAAAACAGTTAGATTTGAGTAAAAAAAATAGAAATTAGAAATTTTTTAGGGGGAATAATCAAAAAGTAGTTCGACTTCCGTTTCACACGTGCCCTTCAGACGGAAGCCAAACTGAAAAATACCCTCCCTCCGTGCTCTGCAGTAAATAATGGAGGGTTTTCTTCAGTTCGTTTTGTCGTTAGACTAGCAAATGACAGCACTGTGGAGACAGCACAGGTCTGATAAGCCTTTCAGCCTGCACAGTCTCCTGTATCACTTTCCATATGAGTCAACTCGGCTTCTTACCTCGAAGAAGGATTCCACGATCAGGTCGGAGGTTGATCAAAGGGAAATAGATCAAGTGGAAAGGCAGCGGTATCCCCCCCCTCCTCCAAAGGGCGGAAAGATGCGCGTTTCGCAGCAAAAAGTAGCCACTAGCGGCCTGGCAGGGCCGTCCCCGCGCCGCTCGCTCCGCTGCACTCTCACCTCGGCTTGAAACTCGCCGTCTGACTCTAGCCGCTCTTCTAGGCAGAAGCCCGAGCAGTCGCGCTCAGCCTTAACGCACCGCGATCCACGCCAGGATGAGATGTCCCTCGCATCAAGAATCGGTCACAGTCAGGTGGATTCTCATTTCTCGGTTCGAGCCGCTTCGGCATGGTTTTCCTCTGCCCGCATCACTGACCACCTCAGGTTTTTAATGAGCTGCCTTTTCATCGCAAACACCGCCTTCAACTAGCTGAATGACCTCACAGATGGCTTCCTTCTTGTCGACAAATACACCTACGGTACAGCGGCACACTATGAACACCGATAGTATTCTGCCTCCTCAATACGGCTGCTTTTGGTGGGGAGCGAAAGTTCGATCTCGGTGACGATCGTCCGTGCCGATCACAGAGTGCGATGCAACATGTTCCCGTGGTGATGTCATTTTTCAACAGTACCCTGCCAGCGCTATCGTCACGTGCTCCACGGGAGTTTTCTAACCTGCTGGATTCAGTCAAGACCACTGCCATCTGAGCGGGTGTGTGCGGGTGTGCGACAGGTGTCGTGTGTAATGGGTCCTTTGATGAGGGTTCGCCCATAAACGTCGACTACCGTAGTCGTTCTGATGTCGAACAGGGTGTGGTGGCCTTTGTCGGGTTGTCGTCGACTCTATCGGCGTCGCGATGTCGTTGCGCGGGGCGCTAGCGAAAAACGACTGGGTGTGGACACTGGAGCGCCAAATCAGGCCGCCGAGCGTGAACATCTCAGGCGGAGACGTTTTGAAAGTTGCGCACGTCGCTCCCGCCCCGCGATACACTCGATGGATACAGACAGTCGACAAGGAACCAAAGCGGTTGGATGACCAGGTAATTCGGTTACGATCGGTCGCCGTTGTGGTGGGTGGTAAATGCGGAGGGGAGGGGGCGCGGTCGCCCGACCCTCCTCCGCCCTCCCCCCGGCCCCCCCCCCATCATTGATCACCTATCCACGTCACAGTCTGAGGCTAGTTGAAAGTGATGGCCGGGGAAAACCCTGCCAAGTGCGATGCGTTGGCCGATAAAGTGGGGAAAGAGAAGAACTACCCGTAAGCTTGTAAGCCTCAAATAATTTTTCTCTTTTTTCAGCTGGATGGGATACAACTCGGCCGTTTCAGATGTGGGCAAATGAAACTGCTCTCAAACAGCCCACATAACTTGTCGTGGCCGCACAGACTTATTCTGACTGCGTGGCAAGACCGAGTCCTCGTCCAACTCAACTCCCCAGAAGCGGCCATGTCACCTATCGAACCTGCCCAAGCCGCTCTCATCATCTAATTTCACCTTCTTTTCCAAATCAGATCAATATAAATAGGTGAAAACGTCAAAATTATGAGTATATTTTCCCTATAGAAGATTGATCTATGCTTTAGAGGTAACAAACCTTTGTCAGTCGTCGCCGAATCGAGTTATGCCGAAGTCGTTCGTAGGTGTTTGGCCCAGCACCAAGCTCCTCACGAAACCTGAACAGAGAAACTATTGTCTCCAACGGTAACTCAAAGCTAGAAAGTATACAGTAAGCTGGTACGATCCACGCACGGATGGACACTCTCCAAAAAGACCACCTTTCTAAGCGACTCGATTCCACTACAGTGCGTACCAAAAGTATGTGGACACCCTAGAATCGATTCTCAGGGGTCAGCTAAAGGCTTTTTGTGTTATGAAACCTTCACCATTCAACTCCTAGTGGTCGATAACCTACAATGACATTTTCGGCAAAAGATTTCGTTCTAACTTAGCGAACTATTTTTCATGGAAAGTTTTTTCTTTGTATCAAAATTATGTGGACACCCTGAGGCAGATGAAGTTTTTGCATCGATTTCCTAACCTATTTTTACTTCTCCTTTCGTTACTTATTCTGGCATCATTCCTCTTCACGGCAAGCGTTTTTCTGAAGAAGACCGAGCACAGAAATGGGATCCCCATGCTTCTGAACCTTCCTATTGCGAAATAGCACGTCAACCAGTCATGCGTCCTCGTAGGTTTGGAGAGAAATCCGAAATCCTGATGCTAAGCTCTCGACCTTGACTGAGGGTTGTTCTCAATCGCTACTTGTTCAAAACAGCAGAAGAATAGCCTTAATTTTCTCAAATTTTTTCTTTTCGTACTACTCAACTTCACGCATAAATGATCTTCCCGATCTTAAAAAAGACCAATCGGTGTCTCATTCAATCAATTGAGCACACGACACGAAAGAAGATGAAGAAGGCTTTGTATATGAATGCGGGTTCAGGTTGGCAAGGTTGGAATTCCCACTCAAAAAAAGGATCACAACATGATACTTTGAACCCACACAGACAGTGCTTTCGTGGAAATGGTAAAATTAGTATAAAAGACTTTCTGTGGAAATTTCTCATAGACCAACTCGACTGGCAGAAAGAAGCTTATTCCTTACTATTCGGGTGGGTCTTGAGGTTTTTGGAGAGACTTTGGTCGGACCCGCAGATGTGCTCGAAGAGACAATTCGGAAGATGTTCATCAAAGGTCTGGGGTGGTTCCAAAAGGAGGGGGACATTGAAGTTTGGCTTGCCAACATGTCAGGTAGACGACTAGGATTATAATGAGGTGCTTGAGTCCCGGCTACAACCTTTTTCGAAAAGTCATGGTCGCAAATCACTTGTTTTGCAGGGGAGGTCCCTGACACCATTCCATTTGGAAAAATGCTAAACGCAACGGCTTTGATTGGCAAGTCGGCCAGCGTATTCCTCAGACTTCATCCTATTGAAAAGCTACAGAGGTATCAGTGGTGCGCGGTCTCTGCCATTCCATTGAACAAAAAAGTAATATCACAAGTGACCCTAACACACTCGGTGAAATTTGCTAGTTGGGAACAGATCTGCAAGACATGTATCCAGACCCCATTCATAGCATGCCAAACAGAATGGCTCAACTTACTAGAAACTTTGGTAGGCCTACCGATTTCAGATTTTGAAGATATTGCCGTTTTTCAAAAAAGTGTCCACATAATTTTGATACAAAGAAAAAACTTTCCATGAAAAATAGTTCGCTAAGTTAGAACGAAATCTTTTGCCGAAAATATCATTGTAGGTTATCGACCACTAGGAGTTGAATGGTGAAGGTTTCATAACACAAAAAGCCTTTAGCTGACCCCTGAGAATCGATTCCAGGGTGTCCACATACTTTTGGTACGCACTGTAGAGTTGTAGGTTTGAATTGGTTTCAAGCCAAAGGTGAAAACCGGTTAAGCAATGTCGACAACCTCGAGGGATTTCGCGGTGTTCACCGAGCTTTCCCGTGCGAAACAGTAACTCTGCTGACTATGTTTGGCACAGAAACAAGCCCATAGTCAAGGGATTTCCTCGACCCGGTTCAATCCATCACTGGTTTCCAACTGTTTCACTCAAAAACCCCGAGCTGGATGGGGCACAAAGTCAGGATTTTTCACAGAACGTTTTGTAACTAGAGTTCGCAACAGATTTCTTTTCAAAAGTCGTGCGCGTCTTCTGTATTCGTATCTAATTTATGATTCCACACGAAGAAGCAAGCTCCATGAAGCACAAACGAAATTAACATTTCCGTTGTAAAGGAAACAAATGCCACAGGTAGCCGGCACCGCGGAACACACGTTCTTGGCCGAAAACACGATGCGGGAAATCGGAATGCGGAAATCATCCCCAGTTCCCAATCGGCTTGGTCCAATATCAGCTTTACGAAATTTTCGTTGAATTATCAAAACGAAGGTAAATTATATGACGGAAATTTTTTCTGGCCGCTAAACGACGGGAGCGAACCTTTCAAAAACTTCGGCTCCAAAGTGATTATATCGTCGTGTTGCTTCGTGAATTCGTCTCGACACGTCGTCGTCCTTGCTACACGTTGCCACTGAAGTTGATCAATTATTATTATAGTGTGTCCAGAATCAAAAATAAATGCAAATTTACTATTTGACAAGTTATACTGTTAGTAACATTAAGTCATTTAACTTATGTATTTGATATATTGAATTACATTTCATTTCATTCTTTACATTACTATTTATTTAAAGCTACATAATTTGATCCTAAATAAAATTTTGTTTTCAAAATGAATAAATAGCTACCGTCTAAAAAAGGAGGACCGAATAAATGCTCTCGTAGCCTTCCAGAATTTCTTTGTTTATTTTTATTGTGATGAATTTTTCATGATTGATTTATTTCGTTATTTTCACTTTTACTTCTAGCAAAGACATTCATCGTAAACAAGCAATCCAATCCTGTACGAATAAGCAAAGTGTTGGAATTGAATCAATCGAAAACCGATAGCAAGGTTGGCACCAAAAGGTAGGGAAGCGGACTGTTTGAACCTCTGTGAAGCTCAAAGGAATCGACTGTGACTAGGGGGCGTAAAACTTGAGAGCAATTACACATTAGGCTTCTACACATATTGAAGTTTTAGGCTGAGCTCAAAAGGGTATGGGAGAAAGAGGTGTAGGTGCAGGATTATTGAACAAAGTAAGAGGTCGTAGGTGGGAAGTTGGGGGTTGTGTAGCGTGGGTCTGGGGGCGGGGGAAAGGAGAGGGGGAAGTTGGAGTATAAGCCATTGTTGGATTGATTTCGGAAACTAAAGCTGAGAGATTGGTGAAGTAGAGGAAGGATGAAATGGGGTTAGGGAGAGGAGAACAGACTCGTGTTTGGAAAGTCCTCCATCGCCATGGTTGGCTTCATGCATGTGGCATCACAGACCAATTTGGGTAGCACTGTAACAACTAAAAATAGTACCTATTGAAAAGGATACCGACTGATGGTCGGTCGACCCCGAGAAACAACAAAGTCTTCGTGACATTTTGAGTATTACGCTTTTGAGATAACGGCCCATGATAGCTCTCACATTATCGTGGAGGTCATGATGGCTGAACCATAGAACAGTTATGTAATATGTAGACAAAAGATGGGAAAGAGGATCGAAACACTAAACAGAACATTAGCTATAAAGGGCTCCGAAGTTTGCGACAGGCCTAACCATTGTTTTTCCCACTTTCTAGGGCATCATAGGGATTAGCGTCACAACCATAACTCAACCTTTCACGAGCAGTCTGATTAAGAAAAGCCTGTTTTAAAGTTTAACGATGTTTGGCAGCATACTTGGAAGGGTTACAGCATTCGGCGTTGATCAAATTCGTGTTTTCCGAGTGCGCCATCATTCTAACGCGTCCATTCTGAATCGATGAGTGGATTGCCAAAAGGAAAACAGTCTTATGAACTGATCTGTGGGAGCGACAGATTCGCAAATTCAGGTTTGATCCTAGCAGCGTTAGCCCTGTAACCCATTCTATCGTCGATCCCTACGGCAAGCGTATACCTAAGGGGGCGCGACCCGAATTCGATCGCTCGGACATAATCGAGTGTTAAACCTGTGCCCATTACACTTTTGTATCAGTAGATACATTTACTTAGAAAACGAATAAAGAAATTTCAAGGAGTATCGGTAAAGAGAAAACAAGCACAATGACTCACTTCACTGACTGTGACGATTTTGAGACCGCTTCAAAGCGAGTTTGTAATACAGGCTGAAGTGGCTCAAACCAGCGCTTCATAAAAAATTACAAAAACCATAAACAATGTATTACTAGATCCAAAAAACCCGCAAAAAATGCAAAAAGATTGAGCGATCCCTAACAAACTCTACCGCCTTAGCTTCGATAATCCAGGCGAGAGCCGAATGGGTCGAAGCGCGAGCGTGCATCGAATGAGTCGGGGTTTGTTCGGGAAGTGTACGACATTCTCCACGGAGAAATGGTGTGTAGAGGACGACGAACTCGTTGTGGAGACGCTCGAACTGAACGACTCGTTGCTGAACATCAGCGGCGTTCGTCTCGATCTGTAACAGAAACGGAGCAGGTGATATCTAGCACAAATTGCACGGACACGAACGCACGAACGCCGCAACATGTGTTCATGGTGACCTTCATCGCACGAAGATGTGTCCGTTCAGCCCATAGTAGGTGTAGTGCAGAGAACGAAATGATGACGACCGACGACGACGGCAACGACGACGACGGACGCACGAAAAACGTGAAAGCTAGAATTATCTGGAACGAACTACGTAGGAAAAAACGTGTATTGTACGGAAACTAGTAGTAGCAGCAGTCATCGACTGCAAGGTGAAGGTTACAGAAAGTGTGTTGACGGAAAATGAGGTGATTGATGCCGTTGGCAGGAAAAACAGATGCAGTGGGAGAAATCGTTTTTTCTGAGGGAATTATCAAGTCCAGTTTGCTGAGACGCAGGAAACTTCTGCGCTTCTGGCACTGAATATTGGCACTTTTTCTGGAACAAACCCAATCTTCTCGATCAGTACCGAGCTGGCCCTCAGAGCATTTCGTGACTGACCAGTTCAGCCAAAAAAATCCTACATGTCAGGCTTCCCATGACGTTCTACTCTCACAAGATGGCTGACTCGGCTAGACCGTAAACGGTTTTTCTCTTCTCACTGGTAATTGATGGGACATGGGCACTGTTGTCTTGAGCCTAAACGCTTCAAAGAAAGGAAAATCCGAGGTTGAAATAATGTATTATTGCATTGGCAAGTGATAGTGAAGGTATGATGTATACCGACAGCAATGAAGAACGGGAGAGAAACCGTCGAAAATGATGAAAATAAAGCCCTAGTCTCTAGTAGCTGCGAAGCGAAAAGCACTGATTTGTGGGCGGTCTCCGCCTATAGTGGCTGGCGCCCATGCTTTCAATAACAGGAACCAAGGCAAGCGCCTACATTTTACTAGTAACAACGGAGAACGTCCTGTGAGTTGTAATGGGGGGGCGAGGGGAGGTGGGTCGTTAGGTGGAAGTGGAGCGCGCGGAGAAAAATATCGCCGTCCGCGTGTATATATCGCCGCGCCGCCCCCTCACCGCTCAAGAGCCAATTTGAGGACACTGCGGTTGTGGACTGTGGTGCGGAATTAACTACTCAGGAGTGCTGTGAAAAGGGTGTATCAAGTCCCCCTTGGGTCGATAAAAATCTTCAAAAAGTATCCGATCGAGCACCGACTCTGGGAAAGGTGAGGAGAAGTAGGGGTAACAATTGGTTGACATTTAGGAATTTTGGTGAACAATTTTTACCCGGTTTCAATGGCTATTTAATCCCCGCTAGACGGCATTTTTGAAGGATAAAATGGGCGGGGTTTGGTGGGTTGAGTGGTAATAAAAAAGGATAAAGCATTTGCCGTTGATCAATCCCCTTTTGGGATGCGGCACGCATTCTACTTCCATTTGTACATTCGTAGTGGCGTTTGAATGCGATGTGGCCTATACAATGACTTGCGGGGGCCAGCCGATGTACAAGTCAGTGTTTTTATCCTCCCAGACAAGTCTGGTACCAATTAACCGACCCCGGAGGGATGGAAGGCTTGGTTGGCCCGGGCGACTCACGACCCAGGATTTGATCCCGGACCGCTCGCGTGGTAAGCGCGCCACTTGTCACTACACCACTTCCGCCCTCGGGGTTGAGTGGTACCAGAATTAATCAGAATTAAATACTATAGAGAGGAAATATGGTGGTCGAGGGTCGAAAAGGGGGTCGTACCAAGTCCACCTTGGGGGAGGGGGGTCGTAAAAATTTTTCAAAAAGTAACAACGATAGGACCGACCCTGCTTGGAACTAGAACGGATACTGGGATGAATCAATAGAGTAATGAGTGCTAGTTACGATTATTGAGACCAAACTGCTACGTGAACATTCCAAGCAAATCGTGGGCGGTCAAACTGATAGGTAGGGTCGCGTCAGCTTAAGAAGCGAGCTAATCTAACCACATCGACGTTTTTAGTTTTTCCTGATACAGTACCTATAGAGGTAAACAGATAGCCTGGTCACGAATATGACATTCATTTTCGAGACAGAGGCGATCCGGCGTCAGTTTGATGCCGCGACTCACTTTTACTACATTTGTTGCCAACTTCAGGACGGCGCTCACAAAATGCCTAGAAAAGTCGTGTAGCAGTTTTGGTCCACATATCTGTGAATAATATCGATTTGCTCAGGTAGCCATCCAAAGTTCCATGGAAACTTGGAAGCATTCCCTGTTTAGCGCCTTGGACTTGTCAAATCATCCCGAAATTTTGTAAATGCTCCCTTGCGTACCACTGCATTGTTCTCGGGGAAAGACTTTATCTTGACCGAAAATCCCAGATTGTGCCTCCATAAAGAAGACAATGTGAAGTAAAACAACGGAAAGTTCTGTAAGGGCGCCCTAAGTTGCACATATGAGCCGTCAATATTGACGCACAACCCTATCAAGAAGCCTTTCCATCCACAGCACAGTGCATAGAAACTGAGGAGATTAAAAGCCTCAACACGATCGCCGCATTGAGACTAAGTAATTCTCAACAGAAAGTCAACACATGGTTTATTCCAGGGAATTTGGTTGACACCAAGAACTTGTAGAGCATATATTGTGCGGCTTTAATCACCATCGTCGCTACCCTCTGCGCGGGTTTGAGTGAGGCCATCCACATTTACCCAGAGTCCGCGGCTTTGAAAGCTTAAAAAAGGACTAAGCATTCGACGTCTAGACCGTAGCGATCCCATTTCGGTGATGCGCCACGCCTTCTGCTTCCTCTTGCTTCCGTGCCCTCGTCAGAATCGTATGTCATCATTCAACACATAATCGCTTTCGGAGGTCCAAGCCGACATACATGTGGAGTATTTTCATCCTCCTAAACAGGTCTAATACCATGACCGACCCAAAGGGATGCAAGTTTGGTTGGCCTGAACGCGTGACCCATGGATTTGATCCCAAGCTCTTGCGCATGGTAAGCAGCGCTACTTCCACTAACACCCTTCCGCCTTGACTGGCTTCAAAAATTTAGCTCCCACCACAATTCCTCGCCAAAAGCGACCTAACCTCCATCTTGTCTGCTGATTCAGACTTGATTTATTTGGAACGCGCAGAAAGACTGGTTTGAGCTAACAAAGAATATATTCAGTGGCAGCTGTATTTTCGTCATCCAATCGTCCCTGCGGTTTCATACAAAAGACAAGCACGCGGCTTATCTCTCTGGGTGCTGGTCGATGCATATTCATGCCTTTGAGCAGCTGTACTGCCAGCATTCCAATGAAATGATTTTTATGGAACTGGAACGAAAATTAGTCGGTATGCAAATAAGGAGCAGTTTGGAAAGGCCTTCTTGCCCAAGTAACCGTAAAAGTGATCCTCCATACCTCATCGTTCTTACCATCAGTTCAACGAGATCTGCCGGAGTACGTAGCCTCAATGACTTTCATCCACCACCACCACCCACCCATCCACCTACCCACCCACCGCTACTGGCGCCACCACCACCACCGCCCCCAGACAACTGCCATTAATCAATGTCGACGTGAACCGTCTAACCATCGTGTGTGTGCGGGAGATGCACGGAAGGGATATGGAGGGAAGCGGACGGATAAAAACCGTCAAGGCGTCGAGTACCGGCCATCAATCTGGCGCTGTAACCAAAAAAGACCGTCGACATTGCGCATAGGTGTGTCGCCTGCCGAATTGGAAAAGAACCGCGTGTGAAATTACCTGATGGGCGCCAGATCGCCGTCCGTCGCCATCGCAAGTACTGTCCGGAATCGATTCATTCAATGGCGTTTCTAATAGGCGTGAGAACTGCCAGCAGGTGAAAAAAGGCTCGCAAACGAGTTCTGTTCGTTGGGTGGTGCGTCGTCATCCCGATCGCAATTGATCCATGGCAACGGGCGGCCAGGTTTCGGGATGGGATACGGGCTTCTGATGGTCTTGGTAAGATATCCCCATCCATTTAACCTACCACGCCCAGTTGATATGGTGGGTAAGAGGTCAAGGAGAGTCAGTAGGAAAGAGCAGAGCTGAAGTGGAGGTTATGCTGTCTATCTATGCAGTTGTGACCCCACAACAGCACGTACTTCTAGCCATTGCTATCTTCCTTCAGAAGGATCAGAGCCAAGCGTCAAGATGAAATTCGCCTTTTCACGGTATCGAATTCCTAGGGAAAGTTCGCTGTCGGAAACAGTTATGAACGCCCTTCGCTCTGAACCATCCAACGCTGGATGGGTGTGGAAGAGGGACCGGCGGCGCTATTTAGGAAGACGACCGTCGCAGCCGTCATCGTCGTCAAACTTTTATTATGAACAGGTTTCTGTTGCAGCAGCCACCGACCCACCAACTATCGCCATCGCCGCTTTCAGATGAGAATCAGAGTCGCTAAACGCCCGAAAAACGCTTCCATGCCGGAGACACCTCATTTCATCATGCCGCAGTCTCGGTAAAGCGCCAGAGGAACCTGACATCATGACATCACCTGACCGTAACCGGAACCTCTACATTGATTGAAAACAGCATATTGACACTGCTCAAACTAAAGGGATCTCGTCGCA